TCAAACAAAGCAATATCAAAAAAAGACATTGTCTCATTCAATTTGTATTAAGAAGCGCGCGCATACATTTTGAAAGAAAAACACGTGACTATTCCGACCAATCAGAAAAAAGTGTTGCATAAAGCGGTGTTGCATTTCGTATTTATCCCTTACCCTTACCCTAACCCTAACCCTACTTCGCATTTATCCCTCACCCTAACCCGACACCCTAACCCGACACCCTAACCCGACACCCAAACCCTAACCCGACACTCTAACAATAACCCGACAACCTAACCCTAGATTCGGTTCAGCATCAGATCAGGTTCGGTTCAATTTCGAATCAGCTTTGGGTCAGCATCGGATCAGCTCCGGTTCAGCATCGGATCAGCTCCGGTTCAGCATCGCATCAGCTTTGGTTTAACTTTTATCATATTAGCTCGGGTTAAGTGACAAATCAGGATCGGTTCAGCATAATATCAACTTCGGTTCAGCTTCGAATCATCTTCGGTTCAGCTTCGGATCAGCTTTGGTTTAACTTTTATTATTTAAGCTCGGGATCAACAACAAATCAGGGTCGGTTCAGCTTCCTAAAGTCTTTGGTTCAGCATCGGATCAGCTTTTGATTAGTTTCGGTTGAGCTCTATTTCATCTTGAATCATGTAATCTCGGACTCAGTAACAAATCAGAATAGATACAGCCGTGAAAAGAGGGAAAGGGGAAGCTGACCGAAACTGAACCACGATAAAAAAGGGTGAACAAAGTTCAAATAGGGCTGAACTATTTTATTCTTACCACTAACCCTTACTCTAATCTAATATAATCTTATTTTCATTAATCGGAAAGCCCCCGGACTTATAGCCGGTATTAGCTTCTCAAAGGAGAGGGAATCCTTGGGCGCCACCCAACTCATTGTTGCCAGGTTTTACTCAAAATTCACTGTCCCTAAAGACCGCACGTAGTCATGAATCAAAGCAAAATTAAACACAAATCTAACACAAGCAAATATTTCCTATCGAAATCAAATACCTTATTATGGAATACCATATAGAAATTGCCATAATCCATGTTTATCATTTATTAATATCTAAATCAAAATAACAATTTCAATTCACATTCTGCACGTTTTATAAATAATTTAATCCACCATTTAAATAACACACACAAAATCTTTTTAGCCTCCCTCAAACAAAGCAATATCAAAAAAAGACATTGTCTCATTCAATTTGTATTTAGAAGCGCGCGCATACATATTGAAAGAAAAACACGTGACTATTCCGACCAATCAGAAAAAAGTGTTGCATAAAGCGGTGTTGCATTTCGTATTTATCCCTTACCCTAACCCTAACCCTACTTCGCATTTATCCCTCACCCTAACCCGACACCCTAACCCGACACCCTAACCCGACACCCTAACCCTAACCCGACACTCTAACACTAACCCGACAACCTAACCCTAAATTCGGTTCAGCATCAGATCAGGTTCGGTTCACCTTCGAATCAGCTTTGGGTCAGCATCGGATCAGCTCCGGTTCAGCATCGGATCAGCTCCGGTTCAGCATCGCATCAGCTTTGGTTAAACTTTTATCATATTAGCTCGGGTTAAGTGACAAATCAGGATCGGTTCAGCATATCAACTTCGGTTCAGCTTCGAATCATCTTCGGTTCAGCTTCGGATCAGCTTTGGTTTAACTTTTATTATTTAAGCTCGGGATCAACAACAAATCAGGGTCGGTTCAGCTTCCTATAATCTTTGGTTCAGCTTCGAATAAGCTTTGGATCAGCACCGGATCAGATCCGGTTCAGCTTCTATCATTTCAGCTCAGGTTCAGCCACAGATCAGGATCGGTTCAGCTTCCTAAAGTCTTTGTTTCAGCATCGGATCAGCTTTGGATTAGTTTCGGTTGAGCTTCATTTCACCTTGAATCATGTAACTTCGGACTCAGTAACAAATCAGGATAGATGCAGCCGTGAAAAGAGGGAAAGAGGAAGCTGACCGAAGCTGAACCACGATAAAAAAGGGTGAACACTGTTTAAATAGGGCTGAACTATTTTATTCTTACCACTAACCCTTACTCTAATCTAATATAATCTTATTTTCATTAATCGGAAAAGCAAAGGCACCTGGTCCCCCCGGACTTATAGCCGGAATTAGCCTCTCAAAGAAAGGTGTATCATTGGGCGCAACCCAACTCATTGTCGCCAGGTTTTACTCAAAATTCACTGTCCTTAAAGACCGCACGTAATCATGAACCAAAGCAAAATTAAACACAAATATAACACAAGCAACTATTTCCTATCGAAATCAAATACCTTATTATGGAATACCATATAGCAATTGCCATAATCCATGTTTATCATTTATTAATATCTAAATCAAAATAACAATTTTAATTCACATTCTGCACTTTTTATAAATAATTTAATCCACCATTTAAATAACACACACAAAATCTTTTTAGCCTCCCTCAAACAAAGCAATATCAAAAAAGGACATTGTCTCACTCAATTTGTATTTAGAAGCGCGCGCATACATATTGACAGAAAAACACGTGACTATTCCGACCAATCAGAAAAAAGTGTTGCATAAAGCGGTGTTGCATTTCGTATTTATCCCTTACCCTACTTCGCATTTATCCCTCACCCTAACCCGACACCCTGACACCCTTACCCGATACCCTAACCCGACACCCTAACCCTAACCCGACACCCTAACACTAACCCGACAACCTAACCCTAGATTCGGTTCAGCATCAGATCAGGTTCGGTTCACCTTCGAATCAGCTTTGGGTCAGGATCGGATCAGCTCCGGTTCAGCATCGGATCACCTCCGGTTCAGCATCGCATCAGCTTTGGTTTAACTTTTATCATATTAGCTCGGGTTAAGTGACAAATCAGGATCGGTTCAGCATAATATCAACTTCGGTTCAGCTTCGAATCATCTTCGGTTCAGCTTCGGATCAGCTTTGGTTTAACTTTTATTATTTAAGCTCGGGATCAACAACAAATCAGGGTCGGTTCAGCTTCCTATAATCTTTGGTTCAGCTTCGAATAAGCTTTGGATCAGCACTGGATCAGATCCGGTTCAGCTTCTATCATTTCAGCTCAGGTTCAGCCACAGATAAGGATTGGTTCAGCTTCCTAAAGTCTTTGGTTCAGCATCGGATCAGCTTTGGATTAGTTTCGGTTGAGCTTCATTTCATCTTGAATCATGTAACCACTATTATTCACAGTAGGTCAGCAATTGTCCCTTTTAAATTTCGTTTTAAATATATATATTTTTTTACCAACAAATCATCATCCCTTTATTATTTTAATTACTAGTCTTCATAACTTAAATTATTTTCTTAAAACAAAAACATATAACACATTTGTGCTCGTCATTAAATTTTCAACAAATCTCAAATAATATCGATAATTTAAATTATAAGAAAATGTATTATATAAGTTTTTCATTATGTAGCTCAAATGGGTGTTTAGATAGTCTTGTTACCACGCAAAAAATCTTGTTGATAGAAATATTAACTAAAAAATATTTTTAAAAGTGAAAATTTCTGGGTCGAATTTAGAAAACAAGTACCGTAATGAAATGATATTGCAATTACTGTATTTAAAGTCTGTCATTGATTTATTTTCATATTTAGTAGATTTTAGGCTCTATTTATTCATGTTTTTCCTTTTTTCAGTCTTTTGACCCTGTACTATAGTTGAAATTGTGAAATAATTTTGGATTCTCATCTCCGTACAAAATGAAGATACAGTACACTTCTTGTATTTATATGCAATAATGCTGCGTAAACAAATGCTACTCTTCTTCGTATGAAGGAAACTGTACCCTTATGGCGCTGACGGAGCATTAAGGTAAGTACTGCACTTCCGTTGCAGCAATCAATATTCGCATCATGTGAAACCTCTTGAAGATCATAAGTCAGGCAAAGCTGTTTCGTAGAGTTAGATTTTGATGTTGTTTTAGAAAATTTACCTTATGTTTAAATTCTAAATATTTCAATCGAGGTCACGTGTTTATATTTGGGGATCAAGATGAACAAAATACCAATACAGATGATAAACTGAGATGTTTTACATGCATATAAAACACATTTAACTTGTTAATAAATCTTTAAAAAAATCATACTATATATTCCCTTCAATCATTCACCACTTTTTAGAATTTCTCGCTGATCACTGGTACTGTATGAATTAATAATACGAAGTCTCCAACACATAGATGTTAAGACTAATCGCCTGGAACTACTTAAGGGGTTTGATTGAGGGAACCACCTCTCATTTTGCTTTTTAATGAACATTGTTTCTTTGGTGACACCTGAAATATAATTATCAAATTGAATACATAACTGAACATAGCCATAACTATTAAATAAATTTAAAGAACAATAAAGTGGGGTCAAACTAACCTCTTTTTGAGAATGATCATTTTAATAGCGCACACATTCATCAGAAATCCAACAGTATAATTTAAACCTAAGGGGTGATCAAAAAGATATTCTATCTTCTGCAAAAATAGTATTTACGCATGTATCAAAGGCATTTTGCTTGTTTGCATTTTAGCTGCAATTTATTGAACCAGGTTTAATAAAACTTGTTTCTGTTGCTCTTGTTACCAAACAAACTTTCGAAAAATGTTATATGTTTAATTTGTTATTATTGATTTATTGCAACATTTTTAAAATATATATGTGTATATTGATAAAATAATAGATAAATGATAAATACAAAGACAGAAAAACTTTTGTCATTTATTATTAGTCGGAATGATTTCAAAGTTTTAGACAATTTTGTGGTTTGTTTTGCAGTTTGATATTCAGATCCTGGATTAATTAACAAGGTATAGTTGCTTACAGAACTAAGTTTCGTGAACATTTCTGGTTTTCCTGATAGGACACTCACAGATATATTTACTCTTAATGTTATATGCAACTATAAAATTATATAGTTTTATTTGATAATAACATAGTTTTTAAAAAGAAAATATATTTTTATTTAAACATCATTTATTTCGTATTGCAATTCGTCAAAAATGAACAAAAAAACAGCATCAATACTTTTATTTGAGTTTGTTTGCATTCTGGGCTTATATTATCTTTTTGTAAAGAAAGACACACTAATGACATTTGGAAGCTGTAGTCAAGCCGTTAATGTAAACCAATACAAAATCGTCAAAGAAAGGGATTTACTTAAACTAATTAATGTTTGTTCTAAAAACGGTGTTTATTTAAATGGAAGCAAATCAAACTACGATTATCTAAAAAACAGTTTAATTAAGTTCAATTGTTCCCATTCGCTTCGGTTTCTAAGCGCTCCGAGATCATTTGTTGCCTTGGCAAGCTATCCTGGTTCAGGAAATACCTGGACACGACAACTGATAGAGACAACAACAGGTATTTTTTTCTTATTTTTGACAGAATTAAGTGTCGTTAATACATATTTTAAACATTGATACAATTCACATACACGTGGGGGGTCATCGTTCCTCTAGTTAATTATATGTGCCAGCATGAAACGCATAGACGTTATTTAAAATAATGGTGAGTATTTATTTTGAAAATGGTACTACAAATACAGTATTATCCACTGTTTTCAATTTGATTTGTTTTAATTTTTCCTGTACAATTTCAAAATATGACACACAAATCAACTTCGTTCCTGTTTTTTAAACTTGCCTATTGACGTCGTATATTGTGTTATACAGGCTTCATTCTAAGCACCATTTGTTTAGTTTATTTACTGTTTTTGACGTTATCGGCGTTCTATAAGGATTCCGTGTTTCTCTATTTTGTGCGAACAGATAATTCATTAAAATGCTGTCAATGTTTATTTACATATATAATATGCTGCTTTTTTATATTTGCAGGATATTTTACAGGCAGTGTATATACAGATTGGAACTTTGTCGGATCAAAAGAGTGCCCAATTCGAGGAAGGGTATTCATTGTCAAAACTCACGAAACAACTTTCAGTTCGGCCAGCCATAGTGACTGTACACGTCTTTCTATATCTAAACTTCACTTTGCTAGTTTTATATGTATTCTACGTAATCCATATAATGCCATTCTTGCAGAATTCAACAGACAAAATAGAGTTAGATCACCTAAGAATGAACCATTAAGCCCAGGACAATGGGTTGCACCTAAACAAATGTTCACAACAGAAAGTAAGTTACGTTTTACGTGTACGATTTATGCAAGAAATACATTGCCCAAAATGATATAACAAATTATTGACAATTGCTAGCTTACACATTTTCTTATGAAATTTAAAGTAAACATTCTTGAATGCACACAGGGAAAGTGTATTATGTTTTAAATTTTACACACTACAGGTAATCACTGTAAAATAACAATGTGTCAAACTGAGAGCTGGTTTATAGGAATATACCGTATTTTCTTGACAAGTAGAAGAAGAATAGATTGTATTCACTTGACATTAAGTAGAGAATGCGGCTTCTCAAACATAATCTATACATTCAAGTATTCAAATTGTACATAATCGGGGAGAATGGAATGTACTAGGTTTCAATACACCCCTGCAATAAAGTCGTTTATCCAAAGATGAGTATGGTATATCTGTAATGTTTACTTTTAACTGAATTTTCAATACCTAATATTTTTGCATGTGATGGCTCACAAGACATCATGAAATAAATCAATGAATGAATTTAGAATAAAAAAAATTATCATGATAATTCCTGGTCTCATTTTATTCAATATGATACAATATCATGCAGACGTATCAAACAATTTGTATTCTGAATATTTGGTCTAAAGTTAGATTGAATTATAAATTTCTGTAATAAAAATAGTAAACTATTAAAAACTTAGGACATATAGTTTTATTTAATTATGTGTTAGTCAGAACAAAAATAAAAATCGGATCTCTATATCGTACTTATCATTATCAGGGCAGACATTAAGTATGACCATCCTATTTATATTGGTAGTCCATATACATGTAGTCCCATAGCACTTATTGGCAGTTTAACACCAGTTATTTCGTCTTTGTGTGAAGTGACGAAATCACGATGTATGTTATAATTTATCTTTGATAGTTTTTCTAAGAATCAAGCCATAATGCTTAGATAAATGCTGAGGTATGTGTACATTAGCTTTTAAATACCAATAACATCCATGTCCAGGCTTAATCAATTCGAACCTGCAACGAATTATTTATGTGAATATTGTGTTTTCTCTTTATCATGTAAATATACCGCCTTTCTTACCCAAGACTTTAGCAGATTCAAAGCTCAATTAGAAATAGTTTTTTTTAATGTTTAGATGTTAGTCATCAATTTCCTTTCGATTTTAAGGATGGAGTAAATTTGTACACAACGGAGTCAATGAATGGAGGAGAACGGCACTATACTGGATGGGAAATAAAAGTAAATCGAAATACGTTCTTGTTTATGAAAGACTGTTAGAAAACACATTTCTTGAATTGTCTCGTTTGATGGTATTTTTAAACATCACAATTCAATATCATTCCTTATATTGTGTGACTAGTAATGTCACGAAATCGTTTAAAAGGACCATTCCACAATGGATGACAATCAATTATGTCTACAGTACGGAGTTGAGAGAAATTGTTAACAAAGCTGTCCAAACTGTCAAAAGTGGTATAGACCCAATATTGAATCTTAACGGCGTTCTGAATTCCTATTTTCTACCAACAAATCATTCATCAAATTGACGTGCAGTAACAGCATTATGAAAAATGTCTCACAAACGTATAATTACACTAATTTACTACCATTTTTATCCTAGGAAACGACATACAATGGTATTATTTTTCAATTGTAAATAATAGGCTTTTAGAGTAATGTTGGTAAAAAAAATTGACAGTTATCATTGCATTTCGGCTATTTTGTTTGTGTGTGATGCAATCATTTTGATTAAATAACAGATCAACGAAATAGTAACTATGTTTCGTAGATTTAACATTCCATTTAAAGACTTAATCTATCATATTCAGTCGGAAGCCAAACCGGGAAATGATAAGGTTGTGCTACTTTTCAACAAGTAGCTCGGTCAACAATAGGTCAACAAGATTGTTTTTGCGGTGGATTACATTTCACGTAAACTGTTTGCTAAATGAACTTCATTTAGGATTTTTATAGCACGTGAATGGATTTCTTTTAAAATCATTTTATACCATTCAATGACATTCTGTACTAATAACATTTTCGTGTTTCGAGAATTCACATTTTCATTGTGAAAAAATAGCTTAAAATGATCAGCGTGTCTGAAATGCTTCTGACTTAAACTGGACTTAAAACAATAGTAAATCTGCAAACAAATCATGGCAAGTACTATAAAAATATCTTATTGAGCATGGTTCACACGTTGCTCGATATGGGCTGGTAAGCACCTTGTCACTCTGGTAAAACTTCATAGGAAACTACGGCGGGCAATTCTTCTTTAAATTCTTTAAATATTGTCAATAAATTTTGTCAGTGTCTGTATAAACTATGCATATGTAATTTCAATTTTAAAATATGTTTAGGAATAACAGTTATTTACACGAATATGAATTAGCTTCAATTTGATTGCTTTTATTCTCCTTGGTGATAGTTTTAGCATGTTTTGTCAAATGCATGTATTAACGTATTTCATCGTCCATTTTCTTTTTTATCTAGTTCCCTTTGCAAATAATACCCTTTTGTGAAGTTATGTTTTACATATGTAGCAAAATGTAAACGATGTAGTATTTTGACTTGCAAACACAATCTCTACAACAGGCAAGCTTTTAATGTGCAGATTATGGCTTATTTCTTGAGAACAAATGTATGTAATCACTATTGAATTACACTATTATTATTTTCATCTGTTAGGACTGGTATTCGAACTCCATATCTTTGACAACCCAAACGGACATTCATGTACAGTATATATGAAAGATGCGTTACAATGGCATTTGCTGCTGAACAGATTAATTCCCATGTTTATTTGAAGGTTAAATGGCCATTATCTTCATTGCTAAGTCCTTTATCCACCTACACCTTCTTAAAAGCCATAGCCACCACCATTGCTTGTTGGGTTCGGGTAAAGGTAAAGAATAAAATCGAAATGCTACACTCCTTAATGCAACACTCGTATCTGATTGGTAGGAATAGTCACGTGCTTTTGAACATATATGCGCGCGCAACCCAATACAAATTGAATGAGATAAATGTCATTTTTGAAGTTGCTTTGTTTGAGTGATGCTAAAACTATTTTTGTGTGTTATGTAAATGATGGATTGAACTATTTATAAAACATGCATGATGTGAATTGAAATTTTGATTTTGCTTGAATATTATTAAATGATCAAAATGAATTATGACCATTTTGGAATTGTATTCGTAAAAAAGGTACATTATGTAATTGTGGATAGGAAATATTTGCCTTTGTTGGATTTGAGTTATGCTGTGCAGTTGCTGGGTGGTGTTCGATGATGGCTATGTATGATGATGATGATTGATAGGTGGTTGATTGATTGATTGTATAAACGTTTGACTATGTGAAATGAAGTATGAACTATTGACACTGAGTTTAATATTGCTATGTGTTCATGTGCAGTCTTTAGTAAGAGTGAAGTGTAAGCAAAGCTGGCGCCCAATGATACCCCTTCCTTTGAGAAGCTAATACCGGCTATAGTCCGAGGGGGCCAGGTGCCTTTGCTTTCCGATGAACAAGATTCGAAGGTGAACCGAAGGTGATACGAAGCTGAACCGATCCTGGTTTTTAAATGAACTTGAGCTGATACGATAGAAGTTAAACCGAAGCTGAATCGAAGCTGATCCGAATCTGAACTGAAGGTAATACGAAGCTGAACCGATTCTGACTCATTACGGAACCCAAGCAGAGATGATAAAAGCTGATCGTAAGCTGAACCAAAGCTGATCCGATGCTGAACCAAAGATTATTGGAAGCTGAACCGATCCTGATTTTGAATGAACCCGAGCTGATACGACAGAAGCTGAACCGAAGCTCATCCGAAGCTGATCCGAACCTAAACCGAAGCTGCTCTGAAGCTGATCCGATTCCGAACCAAATATTATAGGAAGCTTTAGCGATTTGTAGTTCAAGCCGAGCTGGTATGGTAGACGGTGAACCGAACCTGATCATGTGCAAAACCGAAGCTAAATCGAAGGTAAACCGAAGATGATACGAAGTTGAACCGATCTTGATTTTTGAAAGAACCTGAGTTGATACGATAGAAAATGAACCGAACCTGATCCGACGCTAATCTGAACCTCAATCTAGGGTTAGGAATATACCATCTTATGAAGCCTGAACATTGAGTTTGAAAATTGATGCCCCCACCTACCAATAAGTGTGACGTCACATTTATTTTGTTTTTAAGGATGTTTGGGTTAGATTTTTTCAGTTATTAGAAGAACTTCAATGGTTGATGTTGTGCATGTTTTTGTGAATTAATCGTTTGAAATAGTTTTTGGATAAGTTAATGTCAATTGTTAAGAATGTCTTAATTTAGTACATACATGTTTTGAAGAAAATTTATTGGAATTAGTTTTGGTATGAATAGTATAATGATCATTGTCGATTAAAAGTTATATTTGAAGTGTTTCATTTTTGTCGGGAAACGTATCAGCTAGATCCAAACTTTCCGAAATATCTCTGAATTCTTTCAGGGCTTGTTTATTCAGTGACTTTCTTTGTATGCTTCCACTTATCACTGGTACAATGTTTGCTTAAAGACATAGCTTTAGTCCATTTCTTAACTTCAAATTGATGAAAGTCACGTGTGTCTTTATCACCATAGCATCTTTACCGCAAAATGTAAACACATGTAGCTCTTTCACATGCTGCTGCTTGAGTCTTAATTTGTCAGCAAGTGACTGTTTAATGTATGTTCTCTAAGAGCCACAGTCAAGAAGAATTCTTGTCTTGACACTTTCGTTAGATGTTGGGTTTTGAATATCAGTAAGCGCCGTCTGCATAAACACAAATTCTCCGTGAGACAACATAGCATTTTCTTCATTTTGCTCCTTCGGTGAGGTATAATTGATTTGCTCCGTTTCACTCATCTGTGATTCTTCTTGTGTTGTTAGTTATATTTTTAGAACACAGACTTATATGATGACTGTTGAATTGATTACAGTACACACACCTTTTATTTGATTTGCATTCACAACTTCCATGACCATCCTTTAGGCAACGATAACAACTACCTCTGATTCTGTTTTTCCGTTCTTCGAGTACACATGTCACTCTTATGGTTCTCTGCACAATATCCGCACACTGGCTTGCTGTGAACAGTTTCATTGGCCACAAATGTATCGGCACTGCTACAGAATCTCTGATAATGATGTTGATTCTGAAAATATGTATACCAAGTATTCGTTGACAATGCTCCGTCCTTATTTATTCCTCTGTTCATTGAATTTAATTGACCTCCATGCATTCTATCACTCTTTCCTTTGTCAGACTTTTCACAAGCTGTAATGTAATTTCGTAGGTGATCACGCAAACTGTCTACAGTCCACTCATTTTTTGCTCCTTTTATTATATCCAGCTGCCGGAGCACATTCTCTGGCAGCTTTGTGCGAATCATTGAAACGAAAACATGTATATGTTCTTGATATGTCTCTTTTTCTTTATCCTCATGTTTAAATGGCCCAATTGACTCACAAAATTGGTTTAAATCAATCATACTATTTTCGACCTCGAAATTCAAAATGCAATCCTCATCTACAATCTTTTGTAAATACTCCGTATCACTGTCAGTCAAACGTTCTGATAGTTTATTCATTTGACTCATCAATTTTTAATAGACTTTTACACTTTGAACATCTTTTAAAAACACTGCACTCACCTCAGTTTTCAGAAAGTCCTTTGCTTTTTGAAGCTCAGTTATCACCACTTTTCTGTACTTCGTTCTCACTCCTTTCAATGAAGCAACAGTTGACATTTTGAATATTAATTCAGGTTGCACAAACACAATTTTATTAGAACACTTAATCGAGGAAAGAAAATCCACCTTTGAAATGCACTAAACACCTTTTGTCACTTCTCAATTTAATTCTCACTTCACACCTTACATCCACTTTATAATCAAGTTTGCGGGACCATTTTCATAATGTCGTTAACACAATGAAAGTAAGAGAAACACTTTTTCGTTTCTACTTTAAATATACAATTTGAAAAGTGGTGATAACTAACAGTGATACGGAGTATTCACAGAAGATTGTAGATGAGGATTGCATTTTGAATTTCGAGGTCGAAAATAGTATGATTAATTTAAACCAATTTTGTGAGTCAATTGTGCCATTGAAACATGATGATAAAGAAAAAGAGACATATCAAGAACATATACATGTTTTCGTTTCAATGATTCGCACAAAGCTGCCAGATATTGTGCTCCGGCAGCTGGATATAATAAAAGGAGCAAAAAATGAGTGGACTGTAGACAGTTTGCGTAATCACCTACGAAATTACATTACAGCTTGTGAAAAGTCTGACAAAGGAAAGAGTGATAGAATGCACGGAGGTCAATTAAATTCAATGAACAGAGGAATAAATAAGGACGGAGCATTGTTAACGAATACTTGGTATACATATTTTTAGAATCAACATCATTATCAGAGATTCTGTAGCAGTGCCGACACATTCGTGGCCAATGAAACTGTTCACAGCAAGCCAGTGTGCAGATATTGTGCAGAGAACCATAAGAGTGACATGTGTACTCGATTTGCAACATTAGAAGAACGGAAAAACAGAATCAGAGGTATTTGTTATCGTTGCCTAAAGGATGGTCATGGAAGCTGTGAATGCAAATCAAATAAAAAGTGTGTGTACTGTAATCAATTCAACAGTCATCATATAAGTCTCTGTTCTAAAAATATAACGAACAACACAAGAAGAATCACAGATGAGTGAAACAGAGCAAATCAATTATACCTCACCGAAGGAGCAAAATGAAGAAAATGCTATGTTGTCTGACGGAGAATCTGTGTTTATGCAGACGGCGCTTACTGATATTCAAAACCCAACATTTAACGAAAGTGTCAAGACAAGAATTTTACTTGACTGTGGCTCTTAGAGAACATACATTAAACAGTCACTTGCTGACAAATTAAAACTCAAGCAGCAGCATGTGGAAGAGCTACATGTGTTTACATTTTGCGGTAAAGATGCTATGGTGATAAAGACACACGTGACTTTCATCAATTTGAAGTTAAGAAATGGACAAAAGCTATGTCTTTAAGCAAACATTGTACCAGTGATAAGTGGAAGCATACAAAGAAAGTCACTGAATAAACAAGTCCTGAAAGAATTCAGAGATATTTCGGAAAGTCTGGATCTAGCTGATACGTTTCCCGACAACAATGAAACATCTCAAATAGAACTTTAAATCGGCAATGATCATTACGTAGACATTTTACTTCAACAAAAGATTGAAGTTCAGCCCGGATTGTATCTGATGTGTTCTAAACTCGGTTGGATTCTAACAGGAAGGTCACACTCAAAAATAAATGAGACAGAAGACCTTAACACGCTCATGCATGTTAACAATTCAACTATAAACAAAGGAGTATTCTGTGGTATCGATTCTTGTGAAAACTCGATTCAAGATCTAGAGGATTTTTGGAACATAGAGGCAATAGACATTTGTGACGAAGACAAACTGAATGATGATGATGAGTTATGAATGAGAAAGTTTAAAAGCACAATCACCTTTCAGGATGGTAGACACAGTGTAACCTGGTAATGGCAAGAAGAAAATCCAGATTTACCCGAAAACAAAGGACTTGCAATTGGACGTCTAAAGGTTTGTTTGAAAAGACTAGAAAACAAACCTGACCTGATAGAGAAATACAACAGTGTTATAAAAGACCAAATGTCGAAAGGAGTTATGGAGAAGGTTCAAAACTCGGGGAATCACTTTATTCCCCATCATGTGGTTATCACGCCACAAAATTCAACAACAAAGCTTAGGATTGTTTATGATGCGTCGGCAAAAATATCACCAGAATTAAAGAGTTTGAATGAATGTCTTTTTCGAGGTCCTGTTTCACTCCAAGGCTTGTGTGGGTTACTTATGAGATTTCGTTTACATAGAGTGGCAATGGTTGCGGACATTGAAAAGGCGTTTCTTCAAGTTGGTCTGCAAGAGCCAGAACGAGATGTAACCAGATTCTTTTGGATAAAGGACACAAAAAGACCATCGCCTTTTCCAAACAACAACGAAATTTATCGTTTCTGTAGAAAACCGTTTGGGATTATTTCAAGCCCTTTTCTTCTGAGTTCAACGATTGAGGCTCATTTGAATACGTATTGCACAGAACATATGAAACGTGACATTTATGTGGACACTATTATAACTGGAGCATCTAGCGATGAACAAGCTATAGACTTGTATAAAGAAGCAAAACGCATGTTTAAAGACGCCTCAATGAATCTTCGGGAGTGGAGTTCAAGTAGTGAAAAAGTAAACAGTCTTATTCCAGAAGTTGACAGATCCACTGAAACTGAAACCAAAGTTCTTGGACATGTTTGGGACATAAAATAAGATAATCTGTCAGTAAAATCTGTGAGTTCGAATATAAACCGTTCATTAGTGACAAAACGAATCGTACTGAAAGGAATAGCATCAGTATTTGACCCTATGGGTCTTGTGTTACCAGTATCTCTTCATGGAAAAAGCTTGCTTCAAGAAATGTGGGAAAGTGGTTTTGACTGGGATACAAAGATAACAGACGAACATGTGCTCGATAAGTGGTCATTTATCAGCGATCAGCTTTGGTTGATATCTGACATCAAACTACGCCGGAGTATCGTTTCTCAAGACAAATATGTAAAATACAATTTGCTTTGTTTTTGTGACTCTTCGGCAAAGACTTATGCCAAAACAATCTATATACATCAAGAAAATGCAACTGATGTGAAATCAAACTTGATCTTTGCCAAAACACGTCTTGCTTCTGTCAAGTAAATGACTATACCAAGACTAGAGCTAGTGGCAGTGCTAATAGGTGTTAGGTGTTTGAAGTTTGAAAGACACAGTTAATGATAGAAATATCGCACAGATACTTTTGGACCGACTCTCAGGTAGCATTAGACTGGATTAATAGTAAAAAGCAACTTCCCGTATTTGTAAAAAATAGAGTTAAAGAAATCAAAAACAATAATACACCGATTAACACTTTCCCCAACTAACAAACGACAGGCTATTCTTATCAGTAGGTTTTCGAGTAAAGATAACCGGTTACGTATCTCACTGTATAAATCATATGTAAAATGGGCTGACTAATGGTAGGTTTAACAGTTAATTTAAATATTTTGGAGTCAAAAGATATGTAAAATATATACTGTGACAAAGCTAAGATTCTAAGCTTCCCATTGATGTAATAATTTTTAAAATCGGACATTTAATCACTACAAACTAGCGGTTTAAAAATGGCTTAATTTGTATTGTTTTAGCGTAAGAGATACCAATCTTACTCGAAGATAAGGGAAGCAACTCGTACGTTTTCACTCGATGTACCTCGGTTATTTACGTAGTTTATATGAAAAGTGTTTATGGGTGTATTGTGTGAATTTTGCTCATGTAGACACAAAAGATAATCCAGCTGACGTTGCAACTCGAGGATGATTTAAAGGATAATACTCTTTGGTGGAACGGTCCCACTTGATGTTGTGAAAATTCACGAATCTGGAATACAAATCACCACAATATTATGGACATGGAATTAAAGCATAAAATAATATGAAAAAGAACCATGTGTTTCATTGCATGTCGAAGAAAATGAAAGCAAAACAAAACGGGATTGTTGTATTGACATTCAAAGATATTCAACATTGACAAAATTGTTGTGTGTTACAGCTCTTGTGTTAAAGTTCATTAGGAAACTCAAAAATGTAAAAGATGAGGCAAAACATCTTACTTGTGACGACTTACGAGAATCTGAAAACTTGTGGATAGTTTATGTTCAAAGGAACATTTATAATAAAGACTATAAGAATATTCAAAAGAAAAAGCCGTCCGGACTACAAAGACAACTCGGACTGGTTATCGACAACAACGGATTATTGCGCTGTTTAGGTAACTCTTGCTTATCATAAGGAGCAAGAAAACCTATTATTCCGCCTCACAAAGAAAAGTTTACTGAACTAGTGATTCAAAGAGCACATAAAGAGTGTATGCATTATGGAATATCACATATGCTATCCAGATCAAGAAAAACATATTGTATAATTCGCAGTCGTTCAGCGGTCAAAGCAGTATTAAATAACTGTAATGTATGTCGCTGCTACGATGGAGGCCCGTACAAAATGCCTGTTATGGCCCCACTTCCCAATTCAAGAGTACAAAAGTCAAGTGCATTTTCACGAACTGGATTAGAATATTTTGGACCTTTGAACATTAAAACATGAAATGGTAATAGAAAAGTCTGGATATGTTTATTTTCGTGTATGACAACGCGTGCTATTCATTTGAAAGTGATTCAGGATTTAAGTACAGAAGAATTCCTGATGTGCTTGCAACGTTTCATTTCACAAAGAAACACTCCTATCGAGATTGTTTCTGAGAACGCTGCTCAGTTTAAACTTGCAAGTAAACTCATCAATCATATATGTAAAAACGTAGTGCACAGTGATGAAGTAATGTCATACATAGCTTCGAAGGGCATTCGTTGGAATTTCATTGTCAAGTTAGCTCCCTGGATGGGGGAATTCTATGAACGGTTAGTTGGAGTAGTTTAAAATGCACTAAGGAAATCGTTAGGACGAAAACTTCTTATAATGATTCAACTTCAAGCACTTATTAAAGAAGTGGAAACCGTTGTCAATTCGAGACCCTTCGTTTATGAAGAAAATGATTAATCTTCTAACATCACATTGACATCTGGGCACTTCTTAACATTAAATCCAAACACCGGTGTTCCAGACTAAGAAGACGACGATGGTGATGAAAACTATTTACTTGTCGAAAATTCAACTAATATACTGTTCAAGATCTGGAAAAAGGACAAAGATTACTGAACGAGTTCTGGAAAATTTGGCGTGAAGGTACCTTGGAGTCTAAGAGGAAACGCATTTTAAGGGCTCAATTAAAAACAGGAAATTTTTACAGGCCCAAAACCCAAATTTCCGAGTTCCCCGGGGATTTGGTGAAATTTAAAGGAAAAAATCACCCCAGGGGGAAGTTAGAAAAATTTGGGCCATTTTTGAGTTAGGACTAGTAATTTAGGGGAAAATTTTATCTGGGTAAAGTACACTTCCTTCAAAAAAAACCCGGGTTTTGGCCCGGGCCTTTTTAACTAACTTTTTCTTCTTGAATGTTTTAAAAACTTTCCCCCTTTTTTTGATGACATGGGGAATACGAACAATGGAAAAAGTAAAAAGAAACCAGATAATGTATCAAACAGAAAGTCAGCTTAAATTGCAAAACAAAAAATTAAAAACTATTTTAAGTAAACATTTTGAAAAATACAATGATGTAAATAAAGATGATACAATCAAAGACATATTTCATAAAAAATCTGTGTTTAGTTTCTCAAACATTAAACAATACATCCTGTATCAAGTAGAGACACGAAGACAATTTAGTACTGTATTTAATTGATTGACATAGGAATGTGTGTTGAAACACATTGTAAAAGATTGTTAACAGACAATATTGTATATAAGCACTTTTTTGCATATTGTTTTTACTATATGTATTTGGAATAATATGATATTTCATGTATTGCATTTATATGACACTCCTGAGCTAATGAATATGCATTGTCATTGGACTTTCCTAAGTATTTATAAATAAGCTCTTGTTAATCATTTTTAAAAAAAAATATGTTACATTTTCTATTATAAAGTAACATTATAAGCTCAGTTTCTATGACGGGGGTTTCACTAACATAGCGATTATTTAATGAATACTTCGTAATGCAATGCTGTTCTTTGAATATGCTCCTTTTAACTTTTTTTGTATGTTGATACTCCGTTTATTGCTCCTTGGGTTTTCGCGCCAAAGTCTTATTATGTTACAATGCTCCTTATAACTTTCCCGCCATTGAATTCCAGCCACATACATATTCACGTGCTTTTCATGATAGCATTGTATGAAGAGAGACCTCAGGGTCACAGAAGTTTAGTGTGTTCAAAAGGATTGTTCGAAGGGAAGGGATTTTGTTAAGATATGAAAAGAATTTTGATGTGATATATATTAAGTTGTAAAAAGTTGTTAAAGCAAAATAAAAGCTTGTGGATTGTAAAACTAAAATTTAAAATTGTATATTAGAAGAAGAAACGAAAAGGTGTTTCTTTTACTTTCATTGTGTTAACAACACAGACTAAGATATATTTAAATTATTTTTTTTATCTTAAAGTACAAATTAAATCCTCAAATGGTTATTTATTTTAAATATATATTTATTATAAATATCATAATTATCAGTTAAAAATTAAGAAAAACGCCGATTTTCTTAGTCGCGCACTATTTTGTCAAAAGGTATATATACATGTTCACACTAACACGGAAGGACAGAAAGAGATATATTTAAATTCTCTTATTTCGCTTAAAGTACACATACAAACGTACAATATGTTGTATTATTTATAAAAAAAAACCTTTATTATTTATGTCATAATTTACAGTTAAAAATTTTGAAAAACGCCTATTTTCTTAGCCGTGCGCTATTTTGTCAAAAGAATATATACTTGTACACACTAACACGGACTGACAGGAAGAGATATATCTAAATGCCTTATTTCATCTTAAGGTACATATCTATTCCTACAATGTAGTTTATTGTTTATAAAAATTTATATAATATTAAAATCATAATTCATAGTTTAAAATGATGAAAAAAAACATCAAATATTAACAAAATTGTGATAAAATATAATTTCGAACCACGAATAAGTTCGAATCACGAGTACTCACCGTGTACGACTGCCTAGACACCTATGGACAACACACATACCTATAAGACGTCGTATACTTAAGTGTACACACATGCCTACACAACCATGTATGATACAGATGTACACTTAAACTTTGGGTTTCTTACCGGGCCGTTAATCCTTAAAATATCGCAAAAATTGCGATATAATATTCGAACCTCGATTACATATCTGGTAGGACTTGCCTAGACACCTCTGAATCTCAAATATACCTATAAGTGGTCTCATACTTAAGCAGACTTTCATACTTATACATCAATGTATGATACATATGTATACTTAGCTTGTGCTGCTCTAACAGAGCCGTTAATCCATTAAATATCCGAAAAATTGTGATAAAATAAGTTCGAACCTCAACTACACACCTTCTAAGACTTGCCTAGACACCTGTGAACCACAAACATACCTATAAATAGTCTCATACTTTAGCAGATATTCATCCCTACACTACCATGTATGATACAGATGTATACAAAGCTCGTGCTGCTTTAACAGGACCGTTAATCCAATAAATATCTAAAACATTGTGATAAAATAGAAGTTCGAATCTCCACTACACACCTTCTACCACTGGCCTAGACCCCTGTGAACCACAAACATATCTAT